CACTGCCTCAGCTGCCTGGAGAACTGGATCAAAACAACTCCAGGGCGTGGCTGGTTGTAACAGGGCAGGTAAAACCCTGCGAAACCATCAAGAAAAAAAAAAGGGCATGTGTCTGTACACACAGCCCCTTTAACAACACTCTCTGACCGTCTTAGAGCCTAATTGAATTAAAATCGATGGATCTTACATAATCCTCAGGGCGCTATGCAGCTGGAAGCCACCCCCGCCTGGTGCTGGCGAGGGCTTCTCAGTGTGGGGGTGTTGGGAAGGCAGTGGGGCGCAGGGAGACGCGGTCCCCAGGGCTGGCTACCCCCCCGGGGCCACTCGTCACCAATCCCCCCTTACGTAACTTGCTGCAGCCCCGTGTTTATACAGCTCCAGATTGAGGACTAGGTGCGTATCAAAACATTTTAAAATAACTCTGCCTTTTGTTAGCACCACAGCTATCTTTAGAAAAGATTTTATTTTATTTCAAAGCCCTCTCCGGGAGGTTTCAATGGAATAGATCCTCAGCCTACTAGCAGTTTAAAGGGACATGGGTGTGATGGAGATCTCCTTTCTTGACTGGAAACACTGTATTGATTATTGCTTATTGATCTGATAAATCCCGTCCTACCTTCACAACTGCCTTCTCATCCTTCTCTTGAGATTTCCACAACTGGAAGTTGCTGTGTTTTGCTCAAAGTGTTGCTTGGGATCCACTTGTCTAGTTGCCCCCTTCCAGTGCTGCGCCGGGCTGGCTCTTCAGGCATCGTGCTCCACAGTTCTATCACCTCTGTGTCAGCAACTGCCTGGATCACAACAGCTGATGGTTTTCCCAAACATGCTAAAATTGGGAGGGGAACAACCAGCTCTGTTTTTACATGGTGGACCCAGGTCACAGTGGTGGGCCACCACCTCTGCAGCCATGGCAGTGGCTCAGGAGACAGCAGACACCCTCCAGCGTGTGACAGTGTTCCCTGCTTCAGCTGTTACGGGTGCGGTGGGTGCAGCAGGGAGTTGGAAAGGAAGAGGAGCTCTGCGCTCCAGCGGAATTGGCTGGGAAGGTGCCCTGAGCCAGTCGGGGGCCAGTGCTCCACTTTTTGGGCAGCCAAATTATTGTGTGTCTCACCAGTTGTCCCGTTAGCAGCCTGACTTCCGTTGCGGCACACTGGGGAGAGGGGTGTATGAGTCACCCACAATGGGCAGGGTGGCTGGGGTCCCTCTGCGTCCTGGGGCTGCCAACCTGAACCTTCTCCCTTCTTAGATAGGGCCAGCAGCAAGGGAGAGACTGGGCATCGGCCTGAAGCATTAGGGATGCTCGCAGGATTGCCAAGCAGAGGCTTTGCCCTCCCTTTCTGCTTCTTGTATCCTGTTCTCAGGTTTCCTGCTCTCTTCAGGCTCTGATCTCTCTGACACTTAGCATGTCACCCTTTTCTTCCCCCTTAGGAGACAGGAGCAGTTCCAGACAAACCCCGACAGCTACAACGGAGCTGTGCGAGAGAATTACGCCTGGTCCCAAGACTACAGCGACCTGGAAATTAAAGTGCCTGTGCCCAAGCACATCATAAAAGGCAAACAGGTACAGTGGTGTTAATGGTGTGTCTTCCAGCATTCCCCCTTCTCTTGGGGTGCCCAGCTTTCCCGGGAAGCTGTGTTTGGAGCAGGAAGGCTCCTTGTCCTTCATACTGACGGAGCAGGATGCAGTTGTGCCTTTTTCTCTGGTGCTGTGAGTGGCTGGTGGGGACCTATGGTCCCAGCCTGGCTGCATTCCTCTTGCAACTCAGTGTCCTGTTGCACCAGCCCCAGCAGGGTTCCCTGGCACTGCATGGCACTTTCTGCACTTTTTCTCTCTGTTTCCACTGCAGACTCACACATGGGTGTCTGAGCCTGGCTGGGGATGGAGACTCCTTTCCCGGTTGCCCCCTCTGGCTTGGAGTGTCTCCTGCCTTTTGTTTGCAAGCAGGAGCTGCTGGAACAGCTCTTCTAGCACTAGGGAAACAGAGCAGGCACAGCCTGTGTGAGACTTGACCTGCTCTAGGTGGAAGGGAGCTGGGGCTGGGGCACAAGCTGAGTGGCCAGATACTTTCCCTGGCTGCCTGTGTGGGTAGGCAGGTCGCACCTCCCTCCTTGGCTCAGGCAGGAATTTTCCTTCTCTGTTCGTGGCCAATGAGCGATCATGTCATTTTTCCTTCACCATTTCTGTTCCCACCTGGTGAGGGACTCAAGAGGAGCATGCCCACAGCTGGTGTTACTTGGACCCAGAAGTTTGAACTCTACTATTTTTCCAGAGTGCTGCCTTCCCCACGGCCAATCCTGTATTTTTCCATTTGGGAAGTCCGCACTCCCCCACCTCCCGTTCTCCTCTGCTTCCAGGATGGCTGAAATGAGCACACTTGGGTTTGTTCACCAGCTCCAGCCTACACAGCTCCTGATGATGCCAAAAGAGTGTAACTGGCAGGAGCAACCTGGACCAGAGGGGTGAGGGAGCAAATGGCTGCCATGGGGACAGCAGGGGGACCAGGAGATGCATCTCTCCCAGTGGGTCTCTAAAACAAACCCAGGCTGTTTCTTGGAAGGATTCAGGAGCGTCCAGACAGATGTTCCATCCCTTTGCATCATATTATGATCACAGTGTCTCTCCGTGCCCAGGGAAGTGCCCTTTGTGCCAGGGGAGTTGTGTCCTTGCTAAAAAAAAGAAGCACCAGGCTTTGTCTACCCCATCCTTTGCCACTCAGAAGCGTGGGGGCCTTGCAGGTGCTCGGAGGAGCTGGGATGAGACCTTTCCTCAACTCAAGACTGTGCCATCACTGCAGAAGAGCCCCTGCATGTCAGTGGGGGTGATTATTTGGGCAACTCCTTCCCATGCTGTTGCCCGTGGCGCGGCTCTGCATGCCCTTGGCCCCAGCTTCTGACTGCGCTGCCCTTTCAGGGCAATCGATTATTCAGATGTCGGACTTTTCCTTATCCTTGCAAGGTGTCTCCTGGTATTTGGTTTGTACATCCCTTTTGGGGCTCCTCTTGGCAGACTTTTAATTTTAAAGTGATTCTTTAAATCAGTTCCAGCCTTGGGGGACTGGAAACAGTTAGGCTGGGTCACAGGCCAAAGCAGGATGGTTCAGAGCCATTTTAAAGCTCCATGGACTTGGGATGTGTTGTTGATGGGTTCCTCCAAAAGAGAAGCATTCCCCTACATTCACCACACACAGCTTCATCTCTTTAAAATATTACCAGGTTTTTGGCTTCTGCCTGCCAAGGCAAGATTAAAAATCTCCCCTGTTTGGTCCCTGGGCTCAGAGCACACCCAGCTCTAATGCTGCTCAAAATCGTCCTTATGACACTTTTTTGGATTCAGGCTGTTGCTATGGCACAATTTTACTTGGGCGAGCTTAAGGTTTCCTTGTATGGAGCTCCAAAAAAGTGTCCTTGGAGCGAGAATGGGCAATGGGGTAGGTGGGAGCATCTTCCTCTGTGGTCTCCACCTCTCTGATCTACTTACAGGCGCAACAGGGGCCCATGGATCCAAGCGCTTCCTGAGCACTTAAATAGAGATAATGACAACAAGCCTCTCTTTTTGCCTGGCTTGGAGGAGACAAGCTAGATTCCTTCATAGGTTTGTGTTTGCTTGTTTGATTTGTGTGGGCGGATGTGGGCGTTTTAGTGTGCACAGAAATTACTGTGGTGGAAAGCCACAGCAGAGAGCCGAGATCTGGGTTTCCTTGTGAGCGCCGGGAAAGTCAGGCATTTTGGGGGGCAGAAGTGCTCATGGGGAGCACATGGTGGGGGACAAGCAGCCTTGGAGTCTCTGGGGTGTCCCTGCTCATGGCTGTGCTGCTGGGACAGCATGTTTCCCATGGGATCACCCTTGGCTTGCCCCCAGCTGCTGCCTGTGGTCAGGTGCAGGCTGTCCATACCCAGTTCTGGTAAACCCCAGTTTTGCTGGCCACGCGAGCCATGAGTGCAGCACAGCAGCATGGTTTGGATGGCAGGGGGTGGACAGAGAAAGGGTAGCCCCTCGGAGAGCCCAGCCACCCTCCCCAGTGGAATGGGGATGCTCAGCAGAGGTGGTTTTTCCACCAAGGCAGCCAAGAAGGAGCCACTGCCCACGTGCACCAAACCCTGCATTCATCGGCCACCACCACATGCACGTGTGAGTCCTCTTGGACATTTCTCTCCACACAAGGGCAGTCAAGGGCACTCCAGCGGTGTGTGCTTTGCTCCTGTCCCTGCTCCTGGTGGGCTGGCATGCCAAGAGGGGCCCTTTTGCTGCCTGCAGGTAGAAGTGAGTGTTGGGATTGCTTCTTGTGCTGGCTGGTTGCCCAACGAAGTGGCTGGGTTAAGGCTGCCCAGTTTGGATGTCTTCTTCCATTTGGGTTTCTCCACTCCCTCTCCTAATGTGCTGCTTGTCCCAGAGCCACCGCGAAGATGTCCCTCAGCCTCACTAGCTGTCTTGTGCAGCCATCTTGGAATAAAACCCCTCTCAGATTGATCCTGTCCCCATGGATCCCACAGCCGCAATGCTGTGTCTGTGCCTTCTATATCTCCAGCCTCCCTGGCCCTCCACACCCCAAAGAAGCTCCCACAGAAGACGACATGGCGGTCACCTTACTTTTTTTCTCTTGACCCTTTCTGGGTAGGCCCTGTGCTGTGCTGAGAGCCTGGTGTCAGCAACCCTGTCCTTGCACCTGGGGACCGGGCAGCCGGTGGTAGTGGAGGGCAGAGCCTCATCCCTGCACCTCATCCCTGTGGTGAGGCCTCAGCCCCGGGGCTGGAGGGAGCTGCTCTGTGCTGCAGCCTCTGGAGATGTTTCCCATACAGGAGGAGCTGCTTTCACAGAGGCTGTCCACAGCCATGTGCCGGGTGAAAGCCAGGCGTCCTCTCCTGTTGGCAGAGGTGGAGCTTGCGTCCCTTCCCTGATCCCCTGCAACCACACTCCTTCTCCCAGCCATTGGCATCAGAGCTCAGTCCCGGCGTCACCCTGCACTGTGTGTGCTGGGCCTCTTCTGCTCCGGTTGAAGCCCTGGCAGCTCCCCATCACGTGCAGCGGGTTTGGGGGCTTTATCTGGGTGGCGTCAATCAGATGCAGCCGTGGTGCCCTCCCTGGCTGAAGCAGCTTTGCCTGTCTCTTGCCTGCGTGGAGCTAGTGAGCCACTGGAAATCTCCTAGGTAATGGATAATGTAATAACATTTCAAATGAGATCTGCAGAGCGGGAGGAAGATCTGGGGGAACTCTGGGAGAGAATGCAGGCAAATCTCACCGCAGTCTCCTCCTCTCAGGCCAGAGACGGGGCAGCGCCGGAGGCCACAAACCTGCCTCTTCCCAGCCAGGTCCTCCTTTAGTCCCCCAGCCTGGCTTGTGCTCTCTGCTGGCGGCAGCTCAGGGCTGAAGGGGAAAGGAGAGAGCATATGGTCTCTCCGGAGACCGAGGGTACTGCGTGCCACACAGCGAAGTCACAGTCTGCCTCTGTCTCTCCAGGGGAGAGCCATGTCACCTCCATAGCAGGTCGAAGCCGGGTTCCCCATATGGCTGCTGTGGGCGGGAGCTGGCCCCATTCCTGGGGATGGAGCTGCCTCATTCCCTCGCCCCCACGATGGGGAGAAGGGGAGCCGTGCCACAGCATCCCTCCCGCACACGGCCCCTCCTCGCATGCCCAGCGGGAGGCCTGGCTGAGCCCAGTGCTGGCTCTGGCAGTGGAAACAGAGCCAAGGAGTGTGCTTTCAGTGCAGCAGAAGGGGGGACAAGCCGCTGCAGCCATTCCCTGTGTAGAAATCCCCAAATCACTTCTGCTTGGTAGGGAAGTGCTCAGCTCCTAGGAAGACATACACCCATGCCCAGCTCATACACGGTGACGGCCAGGCACCTGCTGTGCCCCTGACAGCTCAGTCACAGCAAGTGGGTGTCCGACCTTTGAGCACTGTATGGAGGAGGCCTGTAGCGTTGCTGGTTTTCTCTGTGGGGAAACTGAGGCACAGGGCAGTTGTGGAAGCAGAACCAGCTGCCTCAAATCCTCTAGGGCTCTGTCTGCTGGGCCCTGCTGCCTTTTGTTCCCCAGAGAGGTTTCCTTTCTCCTCTGATTTGTTGCTATTTGCTCTGACAGCAGGATTCCCACCTTCCTGCTACATGCAGGTCTGAAAGCTCTTCTCTCTCTCTCATCCCCAGCAAGTGCACTTGACCCCACACCCCAACTAGCACAGCAAGAGGGCAAGCAGGAACCTTCCTGATTGTTTTCTCTCTCTCTGTGTTTCCACAGGTGTCTGTGGATATCAGCAGCAGCGCAATTCGTGTAGCGGTGCTGGAGGGGAGCAGCCAGCGCGTCCTCATGGAAGGGAAGCTCACCCACAAGATCAACATGGAGAGTTCTCTCTGGAGCCTGGAGCCAGGGAAGTGCGTTTTGGTAAGGGTGGTCTGCGCCAGCCATGTCTCTGCACCTTGGCTTGCAGCTCTGCTGGGCTTGACCTAGAAAACCGGAGCAGCTGGAATTTTGAGCCAGATCTGGACGTGTCTGGCTTTCCCCATCCAATGTCCAGCTCACTCTGCCTTTGCCTCTGTGCCATGCCCTGCATCCAGCTCCTGAGCTGTCCCTCCAGATGAGCATCAGTGAGGTGCTGGCAAAGCAACACATCCGTCAGGTTGGGTGAGGAGCGTCCCCAAGCTCCAGCCTGTGGTGGTGGGAGCACATCTGTTATGTAGAGGTGGTCACTCTTCCCTGGTCCCGGCACATGGGGTCCACCAGCAGAGAGAGGCTGTGGCACTGCACCACGGTGCCAGTGCTGTGTGCCCATCCTTGCTTGCTTTGCCATCCGACTCTCCCGGCCCTATCCCAGCATCCTGGCAGATGCCTGTTCCCTGCCATTCATTTCTGTCCTGCCTCGGGTTTCTTACTTGCTCTGTTTGAAGCAGTTGCTGTGGCTACTTTTCCATTTTCCTTCTGCAAGCACCATGGCTTGCTGTGTGCCTGCCACCCCAGCACCACAAATCTTCCCTGTCGAGGTGGTTCAGGGACTGTTGCCACACAGCAGTGTGTTACTGGTGGGTTCCTAGCCTCATGACTCATTTCTGGTGCGCTCCAGATGTCTGGGCTGAGGGTGTGAGTTCTGCTGTCTGGTGGGCTGTGGCCCCAGGGCTGTGTCCACAGCTGAAACTGTCCTGGGTGTTGCGTTGCTGCCCATCAGCCTGGGATCTCAAGTGTCAAACAGTCGCCAAACTCCTGTGCACGTTTCAGGGCCAGGATTGTGCTGGGAGTGGGGTTTTGCCACCTGTGGCCATCTTTGCCCACTCCTTTTCCACCAAGAGGCTTTCCCAGAAGAGTTTTAGGAGTCTCAAGGCTGTCATGAGCCTCAGGAGGGGATGCTGGCTGCCTGGGTCAGGCAGGTGAAGCGGTTCCTGACCCTGTGCAGGCAGCACCGTCCTTGCAAGGGAAGGAGCAGGCTTCAAGCCTTCCATCCCGTGTCACAAGGGTGGCAGCAGATGGGTACCCAAAGCTAACCCCTGCCCCTGCAGCGAGAAATCGAGTGGGATTGTGCTGCTGGAGGCAGAAGTGCCAAGAGTGGAGCGTGGGGAGGCTGTGCAGATGCCACCTGGCCACTGCAGATCTGTATGGATCATCTGGGATGACAAACTGGTACCAAAAGGGTGAGGTCCCTGCAAGAGAGAGGAGCTTCCACGACTCTGTTAGGCCATTGAGAGGATGTGAAAAAGGAGGAGGTGGCATCATTAACCTGAATTTTTTAAATGTTCTTAAGCTTCTTGAAAATTAGCTGATCTGGGAAGAGAAACAATTCTGGGAAAGAGAGTGGCCCAACGGGCGGCTGCTCCATGGTGTGGATGGGAGTCCCTGGTGGGTGTTCCCAGGATCAACAAGGGAGGCAATGTTTGTTAAATACCCGGCGCCAGAGGATGATGGGAACGGCGCGTGGGTGAGCGAGACTCGGGGCCTTCTGGAGTGGCCACAGGCAGCACGGGGAGCAGTCCCGTTACCTCCAACCCTAGAGCTGGGTCTTGCCTTGAATTAGCACGAGCGCACGGTTGTGAGGATCTCCAGCTGGCTGCCAGCATATTGATGGTGGGATGAAATTTTGCTTGAAGAATTGTAAGGTAACTGGAGCAGAGTGAGTAATTCTCATCCGAGAGCATCTCCTTTTTCTGTGCACAGAGTAGCCAAAAGTGGTTTGCGACTCCTCCCAATTCATTCACCAGGAGACACCCATGTGTTAATGAATTGCTTCATTCAGCGCCTGGGAGCGGACTGGACAGGAGCCGTGTGGGTTTGGTTGGAGGGCTGATGGGGTGTACAGGCCCTTTCAGTACCTGAGTTCGTGTGTCCACATGTTGCACAGCTCCGTGTGAACTCTGAATGCGGTGGTTGGGAGTGTCTTCGTCCTGCAAGATCCTGCAAGGTGCCACCTGGCTTCCCTTCCTGGCACCCAGGGGACGGCGTCCCCTGACAGGGTGGGAATGCAGCTGAAACCAAACTCACCCAGTGCCAGGGCTGGAGTCATCTGAGGAGGTCCTGGCCACGTTGGTTACTGCTTGGGGCACTTCGGTGGCTCTGTCCAGAGAAAAACCTGTGTATGCTTGAGTTTTCGTGGTCTGTGAGTTGAGGCAATCCCTGTGGGCAGAACTTAATCTGTGTGCCAAGGAGGTGCTTTATCTTGTCCATCAGGGAAAGTCACAGTTCTGTGCAGAGAGGCTGTTGTGTCCCATGCTCTCTTGCAAGACGTGTCAAGTATCGTCGAGATCCCAGAGCTCTCCAGGCTGCTGTTACAGCCACCTTTCACATCCTTGGCTTTCCCTGTCCCTTGCTCAGGTCCCTTCTGGGATGACTGTTCACAGACTCCCATTAACTGGACTCCCTTCTCCCCCAAGCTCTTATCGTTAAGGTTGATTTGTCTTATAACCCCTCCCAGCTCTGCCTTCCCCATCCTATCTGGTGTTCTTATGCATTTATCCTCTTCATCACATGCCTGCTCACGCTCCAGCAGCCCAAGCACTCCCCTCTTCCTGGTGCTCAGAGACCGCTCTGCCTTTCCCCTCCTGTTTCATGAGGTTCTACCTACTGGAGCCTGGGCTGAGCATCAACATGTCTCCCATCTCATCCTTTGGCATAACTGTGGTTTGCACAACAGCCTGGCCACAGCAGAAATGCAGCGGGCGTCATTTCGAAGCAGAGTGCTCTGCCGATGCCTGCGACGCGTGGTGGGGGCTCTGTCCACACCTCCTCCTGCTGGGATCATGTCGCAGGCTCGTGCCCCTGCCTGCAGTGCCAAACCAAAGCCCCAGTCCGGGGTATAATCCCTGTGCTTTCCCTTCTCTGTCACACCCGCTTGCTTGTCAAAAGTGAGATTAAAATAACTTTGCATGAGCTGTTTTTAGAAATCTCCGCTGGGTGTTGTGCACAACACGTTTTGAGATTATTTTCGTTGTTGAGGATTTTTTCCCCCTGTTCCCTCTCCTTTTCTCCTCCTCTCCAGCATTTGTTATCCACGCTTGGGCTTTTGTCACCAAGTCCTGCCTTCAACAGCTATTACAGTCTTCGGCTTGTCATCTCATGAGCCACGAGGCCAAGTTAATAATAATCTGTGATGCTCTCCCTCCGCCCTGCCCTCTGTGCACACACTGCTGGAAACATTGCCTGCTGCCTCCTCCATACCCACTAAACATCTCCTACTGACTTTTGGGGTGATGGCTGCTGTTGTTCCAGAAGGAAGGCAGGTGGTGAGAGGTTGTTTTTCCAAGGCCTACTTCTATCCCTTGGCAGCATCTCTCCAGCTCTGACAAGGTATTTAGGATCTGGGAAGAAACCTCGTGCTACAATGAAGCCCAACACCAGCAACAAAGCGTTGTGACCTTCCCAGCAGGGCATGGAGATGTGACATGATGCCATGTCCATGCTGATGACACCTGTCCGCCTCTTTGCATATCACGGGAGGATCCTTCCTGGCCACAGATATGCCTGGCAAGCGTCCCAACCCTCCCGCATGCCCATCTCCACCTGCAGCGATCCTCCTTGCGATCCATCCTCGCCCAGCCCCTGTGCTTTGCCCAGCACCGAGCACACCGGTGTGGGAATGGTCCCTTCCCCTCATGGCTGACAGCTCATTTCTCGGACACCGGCTTTGGGAACATGGGCGCTGCAGGACGAGAATGCTGCCGCTTCAGATACAGCAGCAGGTGTGTCCCCCCTGCAAGCCTCCCTCTCCTCAGGCTGACGTTGCAGAGGATGTTCTGGCCTTCCCGTGAGCCCCAAAAGACTCGGCTGGGCTTTTACCCCTTTTGACTGTGGGTGCAGGATCTCCCTGCCTTCCAGGAGGCCCTTTGGGACCCGCCAGCCTAAAGAGCAGAGCCAAAGTCTGACTGAGAGCCTGGGCACGCTGCAGGGACCCGATCCTTCCTCTGGCAAATGGCCACCAGCATTTCTAGGACCCTGGAGGGTCGGACTGAGCTGTCAGCTGGGAAACTTGTAGCGGCAGCTTCAAGCACAGGCAAAGCTTTTCCTTGTCTCAAAACAAGTAGTATAATCAGGTCGAGATTTGTCCTTGCAAAAAAATCCTTGCTCCCTCCCGGAGCCCCCCTGTGTTTCCAGGGCGCTCCCCAAGGGAGCATGCAGCCTTGTGTGGTGCTGTCGGTCGAGCACCAGAGCCTTCCTCCATAGATGGATAAAGGCTGGCACTTGCAGGGCATCACCCTGCCTGGGCTGAGCCCAGAGATCTGCCAGCGGTCTCTCGGCTCTCCCTTACCTCGACCTTCTTGCACCCAAGCGCTCAGTGAGTCTCCCGCCTGTGTCTCCATCACTACAAGCTCTCGTATCCCAAGAACCCAGCTGAGTGCTGGGCTGAATCAACGGAGACTGTCAGCAGAAACATGTCCAAGAATCAACCTGAGCCTGCACTCCCCATCCTGGAGGCCAGACCTGTCCACGGCGAGTGCTCTGGCACCACTTCAAACCACAAAACCCCAAATGCAAGGTGATAGAGAGAGCTTTGTCCTGGCCCGTGGGCATTTCAGAGGCTTTCATTAGAAAGTGGGGCTCCCACCTCAGAGCGAGTCCCACTTTTGTGTCTCTCCCCCTGGAATAAAGGGGGATGAGCAAATTCCCCCGTGCGCACAAGGCTGGCTGCAGAGGTTAATTAATTATTGTTTGCAAAGCACTCGGTGCTGTAGCGATGCGTACCGCAGAAAAGCTGGCGAGGAAATGAATAATTCTGTCTTCCCAGCAGGGTGGGAAACAGTATGCGGTAAATAAAGCGAGGGCCACGCATGGGGCGAGGAGGAGGGAAAGGATCCCCAGGCTGGCACTCACGGCAGCCCCCCCCCCTTCCTTTGCCCGGGGCGGGTTGTGGGGCAGCCGCTCCACTGTCTTTTGCCGGGGGTGGTTTGTGGATGAGGGGGATTCGGGTCTCGTGGGTGTTTCCCACCTGGTCTGTGGCTCTGTGGGGGTTCCCTGGTGTCTACTGGTGGTGGGGTGCCACGGGAAGAAGGGAATTTGGTGAGGAAGGGAGAGGGGATGAGTTTTCCTTCCCCTGGTGCTCTGGGATGAAGGTGGGGTGATGCCTGATAAGCCATGAAGTCCTCCGGCATCCGTTCATCCCTCTGCTGCCAGCCTGGCTCTGGTGGGGACATACCAAGCAGGGCCTTGCCATGCGCGCTCAGCAGCAACACGGTGAGAGCACAGCTCGCACCAAAGCCACCACCAGGGAAGCTCCTACCTCGCCAGTGGCACCGTAGGGACATTCCTCTTGTTTCAAACCCAGCGGAGCAGCAGTGAGCCTGGAGGGTGCTCCTCCCAGAGGCTTGGGCTGGCCACGCCAGCTGACCCACAGCTCATCTTGCCCGCCGAGGGGATGATGTTCCTGGGGGAGCTTGCCATTCTATCACCTGCCCACCCAGAGTTGGGAAGCCCACAACCAAATCCTCAGGGGCTCTTCTTCCCCTGGAAAGTGGAACTGTGCAATTAAGAGGAGAACAAGCACGCCTGTCTAGCTGGAAAAACTGACGCCTTCCCTGAGCTGGAATATTTTACCGACTGTGCTCTCCCAGAAGGATTAAGACCCAGCCACCCCCTCCTGCATTAATTGGTTCCTTTTCTTTGCACCGGAGAGTGACGCCTGGCTCCGTAACTTAATGGCTGCCCATGTTTCCCCTCCAGAGCTGTTGAGCTTCCAGGGAGCTTTGAGTAAATTGTATTGTCTGCCTTTATTGATGATTTTGCAGAGAGGCCGACGAGCGCCATAAATCTTACTTGCTGCTGGGATTATTGCTAAAATAATACAGGAGAAAGAAGCCCACCCCTCCTGGCAAAAAAAAAAAGCAAGTTGGGGTTCCTGGTGTGGGATGCCCCATGGTCGTGCTGGCACTCGCTGGCACCCAGCCTCTGGCTGTCCGGCTCCATGCAAGGCTGGTGGCTTTTTCCAGCGAGGATGTCGGCTGGAGGCAAGGGAATGTCCCATCTCCTCAGGCCATCCCTCTGGGGCCAGCTGACAAGCTGCGGTACCATGGGAGGCAGGTGCTGGCAGCGAGCAGAGGCAGCACGGAGCGGCAGGTGACATTTTCGCCTCCTTTGCCCCCACACTTCCACCCACAGAGCGAGCCCCGGGGGAACTGAGGCGAGGGCTCCTGGGTTAGCAAAACGTGAAATCACAGCGCTGCGATGCTGGGCAGCCCCAGCCCCACACTCTGCTGAGCAGGGCCTCTTCGTCTGACAGGTCCCCGGGCTCTCGGCTCCTGGGTGGCTATACACAAGCCAGCCCAGCTCTCCGGGCCCTGTACCATGTTGCTGCTGCATCGGGCTGGCGTTACCCACAGGCAGACCCCCTGGTCTGGAGAACGCCTGTCCCAGCCTCAGCCTGCAGCATCAGCCAAGATTTCAGCTGTGCTCTCCAGCCCAAAAGCCTGAGCTGGGGCTGTAAAGGGCCGTGGTGGGCTTGTGCAAAGCTCTCAGACCACCGAGGGAGGGAGGGAGGAAGGGAGGGAGCCTTTCTCCCTCTCTGCCAGCCATGTCGGGGGACCTGGGGCTTGACCAGTGGTGAGTGCGACCATGGCTCACGGGTGGACTCCAACTGCACTGTGATGTGTGGGCATGGCTGAGCTCACAGCATTGCTGCCACGGAGGTGTGGGGCAGGCAGAGGGTAACACATTCCAGGGGCAGGACAGGGGCTCCCCTCCCTGCTGTCCTCTGACCTGCCCCTCATCCCCAGATCAACCTGAACAAAGGGGATGAGTACTGGTGGAATGCCATCCTGGAAGGCGAGGAGCAGATTGACATTGACAAGATCAACAAGGAGCGCTCCATGGCCACGGTGGACGAGGAGGAGCATGCCGTGCTGGACCGCCTCACCTTCGACTACCACCAGAAGCTGCAGGGCAAGCCCCAGAGCCATGAGCTGGTAGGTGCCAGCCGCCTCACGCCGCCAGCCCAGCCCTGCCCTGCCCTGCCCTGCCCTATACCCTCGGCTCATCCCTGGGTCTCGTCCCTGGGTCCCATCCCTGGTAAAAGGAGCTGACCAAGGAGCTGCCTTTTGCTGCCCATTGCTCCCGCCTGGCCCTGTGTGCCGTCTGCCCTTTCCCAGACAGGAAGAGGGTGGGTGAAGAACGGGGGTGGTTGTGTGCCCTCGGAAATCGGTGCTACTATCACCCAGGGCAGAGGGGTGAGCCCCACCTTCGATGCATCAGGTGGCCATGCAGCCCTGACACCTGCGGGACGAACCTGTACCCTCAGCTGGGGTGACAGGGAGGACGAGGGGCACAGGCGAAGGCGTGGGGTCAATCCTGGCCTGACGGGAGCCTGTGGCCTCTTTGCAGAAGGTGCATGAGATGCTGAAGAAGGGCTGGGACACTGAGGGCTCCCCCTTCCGCGGCCAGAAGTTCGACCCTTCCATGTTCAACATCTCCCCTGGTGCTGTGCAGTTTTGACAGCGGCGAAAAACGGCCAAGAAATGAAGCGGGGAGAGGAGAAGCCCACCTGGATGCCCACCTGGGACCCTCACACCCAACGTTGGCGCCCGTAACCCGCTCGCCAGTAATATACCCTGGCAGCACCCTTCCACTGCCTTCGCCACCCAGCACCGGCACTGGGCTCGGCGGTCTGATGTGCATGCAGGGAAACCTGGCGAATGCAGATTTACGTCCCGTCACCAAGGCAACCCGAGCGCCTGGGACCCTTCTCCTCTCCTCGCTTCGCGCTGGCGACGGCTCTGTTGTTTTTCAGGAATAGACAGAGCTTGTTGGGTGACATAATTATTATTTCTGGCAGCTGAGGATGCTTCTTTTTGGGCTTCTGGGGGTGCAGATCCCTCCCCACCCTGACACGGGGCAGCTTTGCTCCTCGCAGGTGGAGCTGTATGGGCAGTGGGGGTGGTGGGGAGCACGTGGGGAGAGAGCTTGCCCCTGCCTGCACCCTGCCTGCTGCCCTGCCTGCCTGGCACCCCCAGCTCCCTTCGCTGGGCCCTGCTCCAGGGTCTCCCACAGGTGCTGCACTGGCCCAGTGCCCCCATACCAGGGGGTGGTAGCCCCAGAAATGTCTGGGCTTCCCTGGCACGGCACTTTGGGGTCTGGGAGGGGGGATGTGGGAGTGCTGCGGCCCCCCCCGGGCCTAGCCTGGCTTTCGCTGCTTCCCACCAGCCCCCAGCCCGGGGTGCGTGGGCAGGGGGGTCCCAGGCCATCGCCTTGCCCCCTGCCCCCCTTCCCCTTGGTTTGCAATAAACACGTTCTGGAGCGCAGGGCCTGCAAGTGATCTCGTGCCACCGCCCAGCGGGGCGTGTTGGGGAG